CTTAATTAAGGGGTGTTGGGTTCTCTGGGTAAGGGTGGAGGCCTTAAGGGCGGAGGCCTTAATCGGCTTTGGGGTACATTAGCTCGGGTTTATAGGGTCTAGGGCTTATAGGATTTAGGGTCTGGGCCGTAATGATTAATTAGAATAGGGCTTCGGGGTACAGTGTACTATACGTTGTAATAAGGAACCAGGCACTAGGGCCGGAGGCTTACGAATTGCAATCGCGGGATTGTTCAGGGCTCTATTAGGAGGAACATGTATCGGAAATACGGCTTCGTGGAGTCCAGACAATCGAAAAAAGAGAACTCATGGAAGTTCAGAAGTGTACGGGGCGCAGATCGACAAGGGTTTGCACAGGTTTATGTCGAATCCTAAACCCTAAACCCTAAACCCTAAGGTTTTATGGGCTTCATGGTTTGGAGTTGTGGGTTTTGTGTTTGGGTGGATGGTGCAACATCCTTAAGACCGCGAGAGACGACGGAGAGAGAGGGGTAGAGAACCGGAGACATCGATTAACACAATCTTAAGTTACAAGTGTACAGCAAGAATTGCACATTTTAGTCGGGATCCAGTATCTAGATGACCTGTCGACTAGTGTACACCTGAACATGCGGATAAACATGATAATCGACGTTTTGGTGGTTCATTATAGCATCAGTATAATACTACAGTATACGGACCTTTGTCAGTATACGACAATATACGGACCTTTAAGGAATAATCCTGTGCAACCCTGGGCGGGATGTTTCCGCCGAAACCACGACACTCTGAGCTTTCCTCTCGCGTCAGTGACGGTGACGACGACGACTTTTGGGATTCTTCGGCGGGGGGCCGCCAATCACAACTGAGCCCAAACCTCGCACAATACCAGCTCGAAAGGGTCTAGAGGTTTCTATAAGATAAAGCCTACTATAAGGGCTGCAAGAGTCCGAGCTTTAACCTAAAACCCATATCCCTTAACTCATCACCCCAAAGGTCGCAACCCCAGAATCCCAAAAACTGCAGCCAAGCCCGACCGAGTGACTCAGTGCTCACGCACACCTTCACCCACGAAGTGATCCTTGGAGGATTCCGGGATGAGGACGGCCCAGTGTCCAGGAACAAATCTCTAAGGAATACTAGTCTTAGGGGCTGAGTACCCTAGCCCCAAAAAGGTTAACCTTTCAATTATGGTAGGATTATATAAGCTCAAAGAAAGTTAAAGGTTACCTACTCAGCTGCTAAGTAGTATGGCCATAGTCATTCGTAGGATCGTAAGGTATCGAATCTCCCAAATCATCACCGCTTGCGCCGTGAGCCCTAAACCCGTCAAAACAAACACCTGAAACCACAACCCTCGCAACGAGGTTTCTTTGTGCCGGGCTTTTGGGTGAACTTCCTTGGCACACCGGGGGATCCCCCATATGTTGGCGAACACCCTAGCACTACCCATAGGCCCCAAAGTAGTTCCCTTTTGGGGATTACCTTATAGGATTCTAAAGAGAAGCCATAAACCTATGGGTACATTTGACGACTGTATATCCGAAGCTCTCTACCGGCTGTTTGGGGACTCTGAATTGGTGGCCGTGGCAAATATCAGCGAGTCGGAAGCATGCACCAAGGAGCCCCACCACAACAGCAGCTCCACCCCGGCTAGTGTTTCCAAGAGCCTCGTTAGTCTATAAAGTCCTTCGCAAGGGCTTGTCATAAACCCCAACCCCATCTGAACCCCAGCCCACTAGACCCCGAGCATGCAGGCAAGACTCATAATGCTCGACCTCAGTTCCACAAGAAACTTTGTTCCACATCTCTCGCAACAGATCATCCTCCTTAATACCAGAAAGTGCAAGGTTCAAAGCGCACCCCATGGAGTCCAGACCAGGGTTGGAGAAGTCTACTTCGGGACTCAGCCCCATACAACTTCCCAGTTAGCCTCTTGGTGCCGAGATCAATCTTCCTAGGCTTTGGGAGCTTCAGGGGGCTCTTCCGGCGACTCGAAGAGCAAAACCGAATGCCGGAAGAGCAGGGATCCCCCGCTAAGCTTCCACAGCATCTCTCGACCTACCAGCTGAGACAGTAAGCAGTAATAGGAACAGTAGTAACCATTATAGGGCTGACAGTAGCAATACTAAAATCCACAGAGAAACCTAGCACAGTAGCAGAAGTTGTAAGTAAGCTGTCCATGGACAGAAAAGTGCCCAGCAGCCCAGAAGGGCTCGGAGTCTGAACCCTACAAACCTCGAAGACCTGTCATGCCTGCACCAGTTGGCATAACGAAGTGGTGGTTCAAGAGGGAAAGTAAGAGGAACGTGAGCAGCACTTCCAGTCGTTCGGCGGCAGGTGGATGCAGCAGCACTCGCCGCAGCAGCAGCAGCAGCAGCAGCAGCAGCAGCAGCTTCTGCTGCTGCTGCTGCTGCTGCTTCCCCTGCTGTAGTAGTCTTGGCGGTAGTGGTATTTGGCAGCAGCGGCAGCAGCAAGAGGCACAACATGGGCTTCCTCCAGGTTCGCTCCAAGGAAACATCTCACCAAGACTCCCGGAATCTCAAAGGATCCCCACAGCTTCCCAGTTCTCGGGCTCTCGCCCAGTAGACCTTCTCCTCCGGCTTCGTGTTCAGACCTGATCTCGCAAGTGCCTGGAGCGCTGCATGGGGTCAAGCGGCAAGCATGCGACATCACAGAATTCATCCCCAAGTGTGTGGTCTAATGGCAATGTGAGTGGCCTCGGAATCCCTGGAGTGTTGGTCGTTGCAGTTGGGCTTTGATCGGACATAAGAGATCTTATGCACTGTGCAAAGGAGCCACGTGCCCAGGTGGGCGATTGATTGTGACATCACTGCCGAACCGAAACCCCAATCCCCTAGACGAGCAAAATCTGTTCCCTGCCTCTTTCCATTCGTCCTCATCCACCTGCTTCTCTTCCTCGGTCGCGTTGAGCATACATGTGATTCACGATGTGAAGGTGGTGATGATGTCATGTTGACTGTCACGGCGGTGGAGGCGGCGGAGGCAGTGCTGGTGCTGGTGCTGCTGGCAGTGATGGCGGCAGTGGCAGTGGCTGGTGGTGGGCGGTGATGGGTGGAAGGGCGGAGGAAGGTGGCTTCTGGCCATGCTTGGACTACTTCAAGACGCTGCATTGCCAGCGACAACATTTCGAGTCCAACAGACCTCATGCAGTCACACCTTCTGGTCTCAAGCGCTATAAACATTAAAAACCAAAGCCATCGCCTCGGCTTCAAGAGCAGCTTGCATGTGGAGGGACGGAGCGAGAGAGAGAGAGAGAGAGAGAGAGTGAGTGAGTGAGTGAGTGAGTGAGTGAGTGAGTGAGTGAGTGAGTGAGGGATCCAACTTGCCACCAGACCACTGTGTTGATGAGGTTGCTCCTGCCAGCTCATGAAGGTGATGAAGGCGGAGGCTTTCACGGCATTTGAAGAGAGCAGCTTTGATACTATGTCTCGGGCGGCCATGAATGAACAACTTTGCTCCACAAAAACGAAGCAGGAACGACACGAGAACTTGTAACAGCGGCAGCTGCGAGGCTTGTCCAAGGCCGCGCTAGCACGGGATGTGAGACATCACCAAACTGGCCTTGGAATGCTGACTAACTACTAGTGAATGAATGAATGTATGTATGCATGTATGCATGTCTGTATGTAAGTATGTATGGGTTTATGTGTGTATGTATGCTTGCCTGCCTGCATACATGCATGTATGTACATACATGCATGTATATATGTTGAAGCGTAAAGAACAGACAGGTATTTGCGCCCTAGCAGAGGGCGGCCCGGAGGATCGAGGACCTTCCGCTCTCTTACCTCAATACAAGCAAAGAGGCAATGTCTCACTCTCTTCAAGTCTAGCACAGCATTTTCCCACTTCTGGCATAGTCTGCAAGTGGCTCCAACTTGTTGTTGACAAGTCTGACAAGTGCCACAGGGAAAACAAAACGAATTCACCCTCAAGTGCTGATTTTCAGCGCGACAGTCTCTGGCGGGACGGACCCGCGAAATGTTGTGGGCGCTACAAGTGCACAAATCTTGGTACTAAATGCGGTCTCGGTTACCACTGCTTCTCTGACCCTCGAACAGAAGTCCCTACCGTACCTTGGAATGCGAAGCCTCCACACCAAGTTGCCAAACGAGGTTCACGGGAAGCGTAAGAGGCAGGATGGAAACATCACCTAAATTGGCCTTGGAATGCTAACGAACTTAGAGCCGACACGGACCTCTCTAACCCGACCGCACGAAATATGCCACACCTGTGACATGATGGCCGGTCCATTTGGCCTGGCATGTAGAGAAAATCAAAGCATTTCCACCGTGACGGCTGAAGCTGACATCTTCGATTCTTCGCGCAACGCTCTGCGATTTAAGTTCTTGCGCTCATCAAACTGGTTTGGGAGCGCGACCTTGCCATCGTACCCCAAGCGATTGCTGCTTTGCCGCCACGGATTTCTGGTTCATACAGGTCGAACAAGGATTCACTTGCTGGACCACTGTGCTGTGACTCATAATTCATAAAGAGCGCGGCTACCATCCGCGGCTGAACCATGGCCCTCAACGAGAATGTTGGAGCCATGGGGCCAGAAGGAAGCCGGAGCTTCGAAGTCATCTGGAATAGGGGAAAATGGAGAAAACTGGCGCAGTGCTCCACGCTCTGGCCGTATGTGCGATGTAGGGCAAGGCCAAGAGAGCACGTCTGCACTCTCCGAGACCATGCGCTGCGCCGCAGCTTCTTTACTGCACAGCTGTGCCATGCATTACGAAACCTGAAACAATTCAGACGGAATCCTGCAACGCACTGCCCCGCGCGATCATCTTTAACCAGCGACATAGTCCTGCCCTTGCCTATAAACGTCAACACATCTGCCGATGGGAAAGCGGAGCAGTCGAGCAGAAGCTCCGGCGACCCTGGCAGGCAGCCAGAAGCCAAGACTTGAAGCGGCCTAGGCCTAGACTACCAACGATTCGGGATATGGTGATGCTCCAGGCGAACTGTACTTTGAAGAGGTGCTTCTGGCTCCTTCAAGCCCTGTGCTGTTGACGCCTTGCGGCAGCCTTCCTTGCTGCCTTCATCTCCGCGGCGATGCGATTCCTCCTCCGGCGAATCTCATGCGGGCGGCAGACGTGGCAGTGCGTACAATCGTCACCCTTCCTGCAGCCATCATCTCCTGTGCGTGTGAAGAAGAGGCAGGGGAAGCACCGGCCGTTGTTGTGTTGCTCAACCATGCGCAAAGGAAACGGACCCGGATATGTGTCGGCATGTTGCGTCACAAGTTTGAGCTCTGCCCGTTCATCCTCGTTGTCGACTGCCTTTACCTCCCCTCCTGTAGCACGCTCGACATCGATCTTCTTCTCCCATGTCTGCGGATCCACGTTCGGATCTTCACGCGCTGGGTGGGCGACGAGCCCAGGAAGAAGGGGCTCTGTCCAATGTGGCACAGGGCCCAACGCCTGGCTTTCCATCTCCTCGGGCACCGCAGCGCCCAGGACGGGCTCTGTGGGGGGGTGGAAGATCGGGGTGCCCGGAAGAATCGGCTCTGAGGCTGCCTGGCCCACGAATGCACCGAAGCTCTCCTCTTCCTCCGTCTCCTCCTCGAGGTCAAGCCCCAAGCTGGGGAGGATGGGCATGGTGCTGCTTCGCAGATGCTGGCTGGCAATCTCATCGTCGGTCACATCTGGCATGACAAGCTGTTGTTCCTCATCGGATTCATGGTGCTTCTCTTCGAAGCTCGCCTCTGCCACAAAAGCGTAGCCTGGTGCGAACTCTTCCTTCTCCGCCCGGACGTGCAACCCCTTGGCCAGCCAATGTGGCGGTGGGGTCATCTGGCTGTTCATCTCGTTCTCTGTTTCGGGCAGGATCGGAGTGCAACGCAGAATCGGATCTGACGCCTTTTGGCCCACAAACGCACCGAAACTGTCTTCGTTCCTCTCCTTCTCGCCATCAAGCCCGCAGCTGGGGAGGATGGGCATGCTGTAGCTTCGCAGCTGCTGGCTGGCAATCTCATCATCGGTCACATCTGGGATAACCTCCAAGAATGTCCGTGCCACCCTTACCGCAAACTTCTGGTCCAGATCTGGCTCGTGGTGCTTCTCTTCGAAGTTCGGCTCTGTCAGAACAGCATAGCCTGTTGCGGGCTCTTCCTCGAGATCCAAGCCCAAACTGGGGAGCGCCGGCATGGTGAGACTTCTTGGTTCCGGCGCTGGGCACATCTCAACGACTTCCACGAACGTCCTGGTGACCCGCACCTGTGCGGTCTCCCAAGCCATGCTGGCGAGCGACATGGCGGAAGATTGATAAGGCACAGATAGGGAAAGCAAAAAGGACGCCTGAGGCCTCAACAGCAGAGCTTCACATGTCCGTTCCGAACATGGCTCTCCACGCTACGACAAGGCCTGCCATACCAGTATTTTTCTGGTAATGCATGCATGCACGTGTCCAGGCTGCGCTGTCCTGGCTTGGTGCAGCGTCTTCTCCATTGCGTCACTCGTCGCATCACCTGCAGAAGCAAAGGCACTCCCCCTCCGCCTCGCCCCCTACTACCCCTGCCTCGAGCGAGACCGAGAGTGACTGCAAAATCCTAGGCCCCAAACCCAAAACGGAACCCACAAGTGCAGAGCTTTTGTTCTACCACCGACAGCTTTCCTGCCTCCGGACCTTTTTCCTGAGCCCCCACAGCTTTTTTCCCGACCCGACAGCTCTCCTCCCACCCTGATGGCTGTGCTGTCGCCCCTGGAGGCTTCATTCCCTACCGACTTATTTCTTGGTCTTGCCTTCCTCTACCCGTTTCGTTTTCGGCGGAAAAAAGAAGACAGCCCCAACAAAAAAACCCTAAACCCTAAAACCGAATCCCTAAACCCTAAACCCTAGACCCGAATTGCCGAATCCAAGTCTTCCTTGCCAAGCATGCCGGGCGGGCTCTCGTCAGTCCCAGTGGACCGGTTGGAATCTCTGGATCGCCTCAGGCTTTACGGTTTACCCATAGGCCCCTAAGTAGTTCCTTTTTGGGATTACCTTATAGGATTCTAAAGAGAAACCATAAAAAGGAACTACTTAGGGGCCTATGGGTAGTTGCTTGAATATGGGGCTCTGGCGCTGCGTCGGGCATGCCGGCTCGAGGGCTTTAGTTTTTTAGGAGGCGGTTTTGGGAATTAAGGCAAGCCTTGAACCCCCAAACCCGCCGTGCGTAGGGCTTGTATAAGGGCTTTAAGTATCGGCGGTTCGGAAGATGGATAGGAAGAGGACAAGAAAAGAGAAAGAGGCCTTGATGATGAAAGCAGGTCTTTGTAGGGTTTTAGGTGTGCTTTACAGTCCCTATCGGTCTTATGGCGACATTACCACACTGGAAACAATCAAAACCGAGCAGGAGTGGCAGGTTCAACCTTGCTTTATATGATGCAAATTTTCGCATATTTAAAGCCAACATATACACCCACCGACACGACATAAGGAGGTTCAGCAAAAACACACACCGCGAGTTTAAACCGTAATTAATTTGACAGCAGTAGGCCTGCGTCAAGATATTATGGTCTCTGACAGCCCAGCATTTCAAGGTCTGTTCTTACGCATCGATGCTGTGCCTAGCGAGCCGAAGTGCAGTGGAATCTGCCCCGAAAAATGGACGAAACCTAAGTGCTTCTGAACATGCCTTTTCTCAAACACCTACATCTCAATTCGAGCTGAAGACTCATGAACCAAGAGCACGCTGCTACACCAAGCAGGCCACCTCCGGCAGCAGCAAGCGCGACACATGGGCCCCGATCCTGCTTCGATCTACGACAGAAACCCTAACCGGTCCTAACCCCTAATCCTGTGAACCCTAAACCCCTCCATTCCTGAGTCCTCAGCTCCTAGGCCCTCGCACGCCAAACCGGCAGGGAACTCTGGGTTTGTAAGGGTTGCGCTGATTGTAGGTTCAGGGCTTTTGGGACCGGGGTGTTCATAGGAGTCGAGAGTGCAGGGTTTAGAGTGCTACATGATGACCCTAGAGGCAAACTCACACACACAGCATGAGGACAAAGTTTAAGTAGGCAGGCTTGCCTTCTTGAGCTCATATAGTATCAATGACATCAATATTAAGGATCATTTTTTATAATGACTGATATTCTTGCTACGACCACCATTTAAGTCTTTACTTCACATCATCGTTATTGCTACTAACAGGGTGGTTATGACTATCATTATGATTGGTATTCATTATGATTACTAGATGTCTCGGATAGGCTGCGTGCGCGCCCGGAACTCTGAGGTGTCGGCGGCAAGTGGAAGGCAACAGTCTCCAATCATTAACCAAGCGCGTGTGAGAGGCGCGGAACTTGATTCAATAAGGGGTTCAGAGTTTGGAGCAATTGATTTTCTTAGTCGGAGCATTCCCTAAAAGTGACTATACTACAGGGTAAGAAAACCCCGAAACCTGTTCTGTTTGTAGAGGCCAAAGAATTAGGTGGAGGGGCTATCCTGGAAATGGGGATTTCGAAGTTTAGCACACAGAGAGCAAAATTTACCCTTTCTGACCGAATGTACCTTGAATGGTATGGGCGGCTTCATGTTATGGGTTGTTAATTTACGGGAGATTCCTTAGTAAAAGGCTATTTTGCCCTCTGGGTCAAATGTGTGAAGATGCTGAGACCATGGAGGGGTGAGTGTATGTAAGCTTGTGAAGTTGGTTTAGTGCCGGGCTTCCATCTGGCCCCGTAGCAGTGAATGCCATGTTCCGTGCATGTTGCGCTGGGAACCGAGATGTTGCAGCGAAGTTCGGGGTGTTAATGTCAGGGCCTTCATAACGAGAACAGGGTTTGGGGGTACATTCTAGTCTATCTATATTAAGGAACCCGAAGAAATACTATTATTTGGCAATGATTCCGACTCGTTTACCATGTCTGGAACTGTCGAGATCCGTCAGTGAGAATTCGAAGTGGAAAGGCCGGGGCAGGCTGTCACTTGGAGGTGTGCGCTCCTAATTCCTGAACACGAGATCCCTCAAGACTCCAACCTTTAAGACTTAAGCCCTGAACGCTAGGCCACCTTCAGGCCTACTTCCCGCCCCTCTGAATCCTTTACAAGGGCCGCTCGAATAATTACAATCGGGTTTGGGTGTATAGTAGTCTCTGTTTTCGCTAAGTCTAAGGAGCCCGAAAGAGCATCATTGACTAGCTGCTGTAGTTATTCAGGCCCCATATCATACGATACGGAGGCTTTGACTGGAAGCTACACGGTTTGAAGCTCCTCGAATCATCGCAGGATACACAGAGTAGGACCCGCTCAAAGTATTGGAGAGCTCAACATATCTATCTTGGTGGGTATTGTTGTCTTTCTTGCGATGCTCCCATGATGGTATCGTTCATTACTTTGGGGGGGTTCATGACCACCTTGGTTCTCGTCATTTCACCGGTCTAGCCTAGCAAAGTTTAGTATGAAGACGACCGTGAGCATGGTCAACACCATCATCGTGTTGGCAGCGCTCAATTCGTGTCCTAGCTCTCCATTGCTATCGCCGAATGCAGTCTCGCTCGTGAGATATTTCGGGCAAGATTTCTTGCTAGCTTCCCGAAGCTGTGCTCTCTTGCGTATCCAGACCTGGTCCCAGACAAGAACAGGCCACGAAGAGCGAGAGCGGGCGGTTCCAAGATCAAGTCCAATATTGACTTGTGAAATTAGGGGCGGGGAACGTCATGCATGGCCCTGGGCTGAGTGCCGTGCATACAGGCGAAGTGCCTGCATGGATCTCACAAGCTTGTATGGTGCTGAAAGATTCGACTGCAAAGCTTCAGGAAGCATAGGACTGCATTTGCTTCGTGCCGGTGTCCGCCCATTGATGCTTTAAGCCGGCATACGATGGGCTCGACTTCCAACACGGCCGGACATGCTTGATTGCAAACAAAACTTCACTGTCGTCGTCGTCGTCGCTGTCGTGGTGGTTGTAGTTGTCGGTGTTGTGGTAGTGGTTGTGGTCGTCGTCGTCCTGTGTCGTGTGTTGTTTGTGGCTTGTGGTTTGTCGTCTGTTGTGAGTTGTTTGTGAGGTGTTGGGTGGTGTGCGCTTCTCGCTCTTTGTTGTGGTTGTTGCTGTTGCTGTTGCTGCTGTTGTTCTTGCTATTGTTCTTGTTATTGCTGTTGTTGCTGTAGTAGTCGTAGTAGTAGTAGTAGTTGTTGTTGTTGTTGCTGTTGCTGTTGCTGTTGCTGTTGTTGTTGTTGTTGCTGCTGCTGCTGCTGATGTTGTTGTTGTTGTTGCTGTTGTTGTTGTTGTTGGTGGTGATGATACATCTGCACACGTACTTGCACATCTATGTGCCGTCAAACCACTCATGTCGTGACGGGGCACCGGAATTATGGCCAACATACCTTTGCAAACTATGAGTGTTGAGATTGACTGACAAACAGAGCATCCCAGCCGTGCGCATCGCCACAGACTCTGCTCGAAGCATGCTCTCGACCTCGGCGGCGCGAGGAATGAGAAGCATGCTTTGGAGTCTCTCTGCGTTTTTGGGGTCTGGGTCGCTGGCTTCTACCCATAGGCCCCTAAGTAGTTCCTTTTTATAGTTTATATTTAGAATCCTATAAGGTAATCCCAAAAAAGGAACTGCTTAGGGGCCTATGGGTAGCTCTCAAGCTTCGCCTTCTTAGATTCCGATCCACGCTAAAGGTCTCGTCGCGACTTCCCGGAGGTTACCTGAAGGCCAACAGCCCTCAAATGCCGAGAATGGGGGGAAAGCAAGATGCTGTTACAGCTGAAACGGCTCCAGAAATCCAGTCTCCTAGGAACTCCTAAACCCCAAACCCAAAAGAAGGGCCATCGAGCCCCGAACCGCTTCCGCGCCGACGGCGTCGGCGCCGCGGACGAGGTCCAGCGAGTCGCCTGGCGGAGTGGAGCTCTATCTTTCCATGTATCTATCTATCTGTCTGTGTAATCAAGTGTTATAGTCTCCATTGTAGTTCCTCTTTGGGGGCGACCTTCTAGGATCTGGACATAAAGCTGGCTAAACCAACAAGAACTACGATGGAGACTATAGCCCACAAAGGGGCTTGCGTACTGTTATGGGCCATACCTTCCAAAAGCATGCTAGTAATTCCAAATATTATAGAAACCCTACATTCTACCCTTTAGCTGCTTAGGGCTCTTTGTCCCCAACCCTCATGATACCCTTAAAGAAACCCCTATAGTTAGAGTAGCTGCGTAGGACCCTTTACTGGGTTCTTGCTCATGGGGATCTATATAGTAAATCATATGGTTTCCATATTACGGTAACCGATAATTAAGCCCCCTAAACAAGAGCTCAGTCGAGCTATA